AGGGCCTGGTGTCAATGCGGCGCTTTGGGGGTTCCTGGGGCCGCTTGGGGGACTCCTGGGGCGCTCGGGGGGGCATTTGGGGGGCCTCCTGGGGCCGCTTGGGGGACTCTTGGGGGCCTCCTGAGGGCCTCGTGGGGGCCTCTTGGGGCCTCTTAGGGGCCTCGTAGGGGCTTCTTAGGGCCGAGGGCTCGAAATGTTGTTCGTTTCCCTCTCTGGGGCCCCTTTGGGGGCGTTCTTGGGGCCCTCTTGGACCGTTTTGGAGGCTTCTTGGGCCGTCTTCGAGCCCTCTTGGGCCATCTTGGGGCCCTCTTGGGTGCCTCTTGGGCCCTCTTGGGGCGATCTTGGGGGCCTCTTGGGCCGTCTTGGGGCGTCGGGAAGCCGAAAAGGTGGAAGCTCCAAAATCTCTCAAAAACCTATGGAAAAACAATGATTTTTGCCTCCGGGGGCCCTATTGGGAGTGCTCTTGGAGGCCTCTTGGGGCGTCTGGGGGCTATCTTGGGCGTCTTGGAGCGATCTTGTGGCATGTCGGACCCCTCGTGTACCATCTTGGGGGCCTCTTGGGGGCCTCTTGGCCTTTCTTGGGGCTCTCGGGGACGTCTCGGAGCCCTGTTGGTGCGCTCATGGAGCGCTCGGGGGGACCCGGCCGGGACCCGGCCGGGACCCGGCCGGGACCCGGCCGGGACCCGGCCGGGGACCGGCCGGGACCTGGTCGGGGTACTTTTCGTCCGGGGACCCCCAGGGGCCGCCCCGCGCGCGCGAACTAGAAAATTGTTAACCAGTTACCGGAGATCTTAGCACGCCTCTGGCCCGTTGGGCCGGCGAATTTTTGGACTCTGGGGGCCCTTACCGGCCCTCGGGAGCGTCAAAAAACGACTCAGGACGAAAAACCGGTCATAGGGAAAGGGTCTGGACCTCTGGGGGGCGCGTCATGAAAAAATCATGACGTCGGGGGTCTGGGATGGGGGGAAGATTTGGGTATGGCCAGGACCCCAGGTAAGGGGACCCGGTCAGTAGTAAGGCCCCGGAGCTTTTCAATGGGCCAGAATTGCTAAACCAGGTCTGCCGCAAGCTGTGTTTTTTCGGGTGACGGCAGCTCGGGCAAGTGGAACGGGGCGGGGGGGGGCCCCTCAGTACACATCACTAAACCAGGTCCCACTAAACCCAGTTCTGCCAACGCCCGAAAGATGATCCCAGATTTCGGTGTTGGTGGTAATACTTCGGCCACCTTGGAGGCCACAATGTTACCACCCATCACCGAGATCGGGATATGCTTCCCTCGGTGGAGGCACGACGCCGCCGATTTTGGTGTTGGTGTCAACTTCCAGGCCTGCGACAGAGGCGTCCGAGATGTCGACTTGGCATCGCTCGGACGTGTTTTTTGTTGTTCTTGTTTTCGTTTTGCTTTTCCATCCGCGAGCAACATCGAGGAGCATCCTAGATCATCGAGCGAACCAAACATACGCGCACGAAACGGAACAATGCACGGGGAATGGACGTCCGAGCGACTGCAAGTCGAGGGGTCTGCGCTAAGCCAGAGAGCCGCGCTCTTTTATAAGGTTGAATCGGCGTCACCCCAGCATACTGCACGCCAGTCGTTGAAAGAAGGTATTTCTGGGCTCCCATAGGGAAACAAAAAGTGGCACAAACATAACAACTCGGAGGTCCGCGCGGATTTCTCGGATCGGCGCTGGAACCCCCTCCCTTGCGCGCGGAGCGCGCCAGGGGCGGCGCGGGAGGCGCCGCCATGGGGGTCAGCACAGATCCGAGAAATCCGCGCGGATCTCCGAGTTTTTATGTTTATGTCATCCTTCGTGCCCCTGTGCACGCCAGTCGTTGAAGGTAGATACTTCTGGGTTCCCGTCTCCCGGTCTGCTGCAAGCTCCTTCCTTTGGGCGCCGCGTAATGGGGGGGTCATAAATGGGGGGGTGGCGAGCGTGGTCCGAAAAGGTACCCAAACGGTACCTAAACGAGCCCCCTGGGGCTCTGGAGGGGCCCGAAAGGGGCACGAAAGGGGACCTTTTCTGACCCCCCCATTTGTGACCCCCCCATTAAGCCACGCCCAATTCCTAATTCAAGAGCCGGGATGCTCTTGTTGTCTTTTTGTCACTCTGCGGGCGGGCCCAAGCCCGATCTGCTTCACCCGCCTGCCTATAATTCATGTTCCTGCACTCTTCTTTCACCTCGGGCACTTCCCTCGACAGGAGGAATCTTTACCACTAGTCGAACATACTTGTTGTTTTTTGGTACCATTTTTTTCAATATTGGTTTGAGCATTTTTGGGCTATCCTTTTCCCCCTCCACAATCCGACTGTAGGAGGATACCCGCCTGTAGGAGGACATGCCCGACCTAACACTTCTTCCGACTGGTGGGTCCTATGTGTGCGTCGCCCCCCCCCAGTGGCGACGCGCGCGCGAAGAAATCCTCATAGTATACAGTATAAGTTCAATGGCTGGCTCTTCCTGGTCGTACCGCTTGGGAAACGACCTGCTACAAGATGGTCGTCAGATTCGGAAAAGCGTGTCTTTTGCATAGGGTGTCCCAAAAAGGTTCTTCACAGTTCGTGCAATCGTGCGTGCTGGATCGTGCTGGATGCTGGCAGGATGCGCTGATCTGGCATCCCTGGTCCGTAAGAGAGGTCACGCGCCACGAGCCACAGGATGAACTACGACGTGCTGTTCACTGACTCACGGAGTGTGGCCGAAGTCAACGAGCACGTCGTCACGACACGAGCTCGCCGACGGGGGGGGACCGGGAGGCGACGGGGGCAGGCGGGCCCGCTGCTGCTCTCGAGGACGCCCTCTGGGGGACCGCCGCCGCCCCCTGGCCCCCTCGGAGACGCGCACGTGTGCACACGAGCGCGGGGTCAGACCTTGGGGCCCTCTTGGCGGACCGACGAGCGCCTGCGGCGAGCCGCCGCTGCCTCCTGCCCCTCCGGAGACCCCGGCGTGGCCAGGCGTCCAGCGGGAGTTTGGCCAAGCCTTTGGACTGCGTGTCCCCCCGGCCGTTTTGGAAACCCATGGGCGAACGTTTAGGGGCAGGAAGGGACGAGGACGAAGATGAAGACGACGACGACGACGACGACGACGACGACGAGGAGGAGGAAGAGGAGGAGGAGGAGGAGGAGGAGGAGGAGGAGGAGGAGGAGGAGGAGGAGGAGAAGGAGGAGGAGGAGGAGGAGTAGGAGGAGGAGGATGGGACTGTCTTGGGGCTGTTTTGTGGCCATCTGTGCGTTTGAGGGGCCTCTTGGGGGACCTCTTGGGGGGCTCTGGGAGCCTTGCGTCTCCTAGGCCGTCTGGCGTGTTCGGAGGCCGTCTTGGGGGCTTATCTGGGCCGCCTTAAGATCGTCTAGGGGCACTTTGTTGCCGTGTTGGGGGTACCTTCTTGGGGTCCTCATGGGGCCGTCCCAAGGGGCCTCTTGGGCCATCTTGGGGTCCTTCTGGCCCTTCTTGGAGGGCTTCTTGTGCCGTCTTCGGACCATCTTTGAAGGCTCTGTGGCCGTCTAGGGGGTTGTCAGAATCTCGAAAAGGCGATATCGCGAAAACCGTGCAGACGTGTTTGCCAGCCTGGACCCCAAATAGTGAATTTTCGCACTCTGGTGGTTTAAGCTATGTGGTGAAGCCTACGTGGTGGAAGCTATGTGATGGAAGCTACGTGGTGTAAGCCATGTGGTGGAACATATGTGGTGGTAGCCATGTGGTGGAGGTTATATGGCAACGCTTCGCGTCCGCAGAAATGCCGACAGAAAGCTGGGTCCCACTACATGGAATTTAGCTTTTCGTATTCTCGACGCTCCGCGTCTCCCCACTGGATGCGGGAGCGCACGAGGCGGCAACGGGCGGCCACGGGCAGGAACGTGGCGAGTCCTCGACGCACCCGCCATGAGCGGCAGCGGGCGGCGACGGGCGGCAACGGCCGCCGACGGGCAGGAACGTGGCGAAGTCTCGACGCACCCGCAATGAGCGGCAACGCTCGGACGTGTGCACTTCTCCTTCGGCGAGGACCATCGAGGAGCATCTCCTGGACCATCGCGCAAAAAAAAAAGCACGCGCGAGACCGAAGAAGGCACGGGAAGTGGACGTCCGAGCGACGGCAGGGCAAGCGCGGCGGCGGGCGGCAACGAGGGGGAGTGGGGCGGACCCGCGCCTCACCGGCAGAGAGCGGCCACGGGCGGCGGCGGGCGGCAGCGTGGCCGGAGCGTTGGCGGATGCTCGGTGCACCCGCCCTGTGCCTGCGGAAGGCAAGGCCCGACATCGCTCGGACGTGTGCATTTTTTCTCGGCGAGGACCATCGAGGACCATCCTGGACCATCGAGCAGCACAGAACGCGCGAAGCCGAAGAGTGCACGGGAAGTGGGCGTCCGAGCGACGGCAAGAGGAGGGAGCCTCTAAGTGCATGGTCTGGGGAGAGTAAAGCACATTCTCATGTGGTCCTCCTGGGACGCCTCCTGGGGGTCCTCTTGGAGCCCTCCTGGGGCTTCTTGGGTGCCTCGTGGACGCTGAAGGTTTCAGTGGTGATCGCAGGTTGCTGGGTGACCGCAAGCTGTTCGTGTGGATGACTGGAGCCTTTGGAATTTAGTTTCATCAACCAGTCACGTGCGACCCATGTTTTCCCACATGTCTTCACAGCCGCCCTTGCTTCGCCAGATGGGTTGGAACTCATGCCAGTTCACGGAGTGCACCAGCTTCAGCATGGCACCCTCTTTCTCGCGCGGAGTTATCGAGACCGAACCGTACCAGTGCAGGCGATTCTGCGAACTCCTGGCAACAGAGAGCATCAGTGGGCATCATCACGGTGTACCCCGCACGCGCTCACCCTCTGGAAGGCTTGTTGAGGGTTGGAGCCGGGTGGGGAGCCACCGCTGGCTCTGGCCAGTAAGAAGGAGGGACAAGGGCCTTCCTCGTCGCCACGGCTGGACGCGATCCGTTTCGACCCCGGGGCGCAGATTCTGAGCGGATTTGCCCTCGTCCACCCTCTTGGCCGATTTTCCTGGGGCCCATTCAGCTCAGACCCCCCGGCCGCCTCAAAATTGAGGGGACGCGCGGGGCTGATGAGTACCCTTCAACACTCTGCGCCAGGGAGCGCGACGAAGCACTACGATGCCATCAGTGCTTTGCAGATCGCCCGTGGCCCAGTTCGGCTCAAGTTCGATTCAGCGCGGCCGCGTGCCGACGGGAGTCACTGGGGCACCGAGTAGCGAACCCACTGGAGGCATGGCTCGCCTCGCTCTGGCTCTCGCGCTGGTGCTGTCCGCGCGCGCGCTGGCGGACGAGGGCTGCGCCGCCGACGGCACGTGCCAGGCCGACGAGGCCGAGGCCTCCGCGCTGCTGCAGAGCTCGGCCGCGCGCAGGGCCGACGTGGCCCAGCACGGCGCCGCGAACGCCACCACCGAGACGACCACGCTCACCTGCTACCCGAACTACGCGGCTGCCACCTGCGGCGGCGCCATGAAGTGCTTCCAGGACACCACGGGCTGCTCCACCTCCGGGGGAGGCGTGTGCTGCAAGGCGGCGGGCAACGGGCAGGGCCTCGCCCAGTGCAAGTTCTGCGGCGACTCGACCTGCGGCCCATGCCCCGGAGGCCCCGCCCCGACCCCCACGCCTGCGCCGCCCACGCCGTCGGGCAACCAGGTCGGGGAGATCTGCGACTTTTGGGGGAGCACTGGCCAGTACTATGGCCCCTGCGCGCCCGGCCTCGTGTGCGCCCCCCCAGTCAACGCGGGGCTTGGCGCGCCCAAGGTCTGCATCTACCGCTAGCACCTGCGGCAGTTCCAGTTCGAGCGGGGACGCCGTGACCGGCGGGCGCAACCGCAGGCAGTTCTGCAGCTGCAGGGCGACGTTGCCGTGCTCTCCTCGGAAGCCCTGCGCCGAGGGGCAGGCACTGGCTGCTGAGTGAATTTGGGGCCCACAGGTGGCCCGAGTGCCCAGCAGCTGCCTACGTGGGATGCTCGTGGCCGTAGTTCCACAGCGGCCGACAGAGCAAAGTCTTTTTTCGGGGAGCCTGTGTGGCCAGAGTGGCCTCCACGCACGCATGCCGCGCCGGCGTGCCACTTTTGTGTAAGCATGCTGGCTGTGCCCAACCACGGCGCAGCAGTATTCGTACCTAGCGCTTCTGCGTTTCGGACCTGAGTGTCCGGGTGCACTTGGGCGGAGCGGCCGCTTCACTTGTGGCCGTCTGTGCCCACGTGCGGGTTTGTAGGGAAGCGCTGGTCAGAGCAAGGCACCTGAAGATTGGCCAACAAACACACAACTCGTTTTCTAGACGCTTTGAGCAATCCCACCAGCCAGACCTTTCAACTCGGCGCCTGCGCTTTCGCTTGCGCCCGCGAGGAAAAAAACAATCCCACCAGCCCAACCAGAAACGATGCCCGGGCGAATTGCCCTGGTCAGGGATGTGGAGGAGCATGCAGTAGAAGAATGGGCTGGGGAAGCCGGGCTCACCCTCTGGAAGGCTTGTTGAGGGTTGGAGCCGGGTGGGGAGCCACCGCTGGCTCTGGCCAGTAAGAAGGAGGGACAAGGGCCTCCCTCGTCGCCACGGCTGGACGCGATCCGTTTCGACCCCGGGGCGCAGATTCTGAGCGGATTTGCCCTCGTCCACCCTCTTGGCCGATTTTCCTGGGGCCCATTCAGCTCAGACCCCCCGGCCGCCTCAGAATTGAGGGGACGCGCGGGGCTGATGAGTACCCTTCAACACTCTGCGCCAGGGAGCGCGACGAAGCACTACGATGCCATCAGTGCTTTGCAGATCGCCCGTGGCCCAGTTCGGCTCAAGTTCGATTCAGGGCGGCCGCGTGCCGACGGGAGTCACTGGGGCACCGAGTAGCGAACCCACTGGAGGCATGGCTCGCCTCGCTCTGGCTCTCGCGCTGGTGCTGTCCGCGCGCGCGCTGGCGGACGAGGGCTGCGCCGCCGACGGCACGTGCCAGGCCGACGAGGCCGAGGCCTCCGCGCTGCTGCAGAGCTCGGCCGCGCGCAGGGCCGACGTGGCCCAGCACGGCGCCGCGAACGCCACCACCGAGACGACCACGCTCACCTGCTACCCGAACTACGCGGCTGCCACCTGCGGCGGCGCCATGAAGTGCTTCCAGGACACCACGGGCTGCTCCACCTCCGGGGCAGGCGTGTGCTGCAAGGCGGCGGGCAACGGGCAGGGCCTCGCCCAGTGCAAGTTCTGCGGCGACTCGACCTGCGGCCCATGCCCCGGAGGCCCCGCCCCGACCCCCACGCCTGCGCCGCCCACGCCGTCGGGCAACCAGGTCGGGGAGATCTGCGACTTTTGGGGGAGCACTGGCCAGTACTATGGCCCCTGCGCGCCCGGCCTCGTGTGCGCCCCCCCAGTCAACGCGGGGCCTGGCGCGCCCAAGGTCTGCATCTACCGCTAGCACCTGCGGCAGTTCCAGTTCGAGCGGGGACGCCGTGACCGGCGGGCGCGACGTTGCCGTGCTCTCCTCGGAAGCCCGGCGCCGAGGGGCAGGCACTGGCTGCTGAGTGAATTTGGGGCCCACAGGTGGCCCGAGTGCCCAGCAGCTGCCTACGTGCGATGCTCGTGGCCGTAGTTCCACAGCGGCCGACAGAGCAAAGTCTTTTTTCGGGGAGCCTGTGTGGCCAGAGTGGCCTCCACGTACGCATGCCGCGCCGGCGTGCCACTTTTGTGTAAGCATGCTGGCTGTGCCCAACCACGGCGCAGCAGTATTCGTACCTAGCGCTTCTGCGTTTCGGACCTGAGTGTCCGGGTGCACTTGGGCGGAGCGGCCGCTTCACTTGTGGCCGTCTGTGCCCACGTGCGGGTTTGTAGGGAAGCGCTGGTCAGAGCAAGGCACCTGAAGATTGGCCAACAAACACACAACTCGTTTTCCAGACGCTTCGAGCAATCCCACCAGCCGGACCTTTCAACTCGGCGCCTGCGCTTTCGCTTGCGCCCGCGAGAAAAAAAAAACAATCCCACCAGCCCAACCAGAAACGATGCCCGTGCGAATTGCCCTGGTCAGGGATGTGGAGGAGCATGCAGTAGAAGAATGGGCTGGGGAAGCCGGGCTCACCCTCTGGAAGGCTTGTTGAGGGTTGGAGCCGGGTGGGGAGCCACCGCTGGCTCTGGCCAGTAAGAAGGAGGGACAAGGGCCTCCCTCGTCGCCACGGCTGGACGCGATCCGTTTCGACCCCGGGGCGCAGATTCTGAGCGGATTTGCCCTCGTCCACCCTCTTGGCCGATTTTCCTGGGGCCCATTCAGCTCAGACCCCCCGGCCGCCTCAGAATTGAGGGGACGCGCGGGGCTGATGAGTACCCTTCAACACTCTGCGCCAGGGAGCGCGACGAAGCACTACGATGCCATCAGTGCTTTGCAGATCGCCCGTGGCCCAGTTCGGCTTAAGTTCGATTCAGGGCGGCCGCGTGCCGACGGGAGTCACTGGGGCACCGAGTAGCGAACCCACTGGAGGCATGGCTCGCCTCGCTCTGGCTCTCGCGCTGGTGCTGTCCGCGCGCGCGCTGGCGGACGAGGGCTGCGCCGCCGACGGCACGTGCCAGGCCGACGAGGCCGAAGCCTCCGCGCTGCTGCAGAGCTCGGCCGCGCGCAGGGCCGACGTGGCCCAGCACGGCGCCGCGAACGCCACCACCGAGACGACCACGCTCACCTGCTACCCGAACTACGCGGCTGCCACCTGCGGCGGCGCCATGAAGTGCTTCCAGGACACCACGGGCTGCTCCACCTCCGGGGCAGGCGTGTGCTGCAAGGCGGCGGGCAACGGGCAGGGCCTCGCCCAGTGCAAGTTCTGCGGCGACTCGACCTGCGGCCCATGCCCCGGAGGCCCCGCCCCGACCCCCACGCCTGCGCCGCCCACGCCGTCGGGCAACCAGGTCGGGGAGATCTGCGACTTTTGGGGGAGCACTGGCCAGTACTATGGCCCCTGCGCGCCCGGCCTCGTGTGCGCCCCCCCAGTCAACGCGGGGCCTGGCGCGCCCAAGGTCTGCACCTACCGCTAGCACCTGCGGCAGTTCCAGTTCGAGCGGGGACGCCGTGACCGGCGGGCGCAACCGCAGGCAGTTCTGCAGCTGCAGGGCGACGTTGCCGTGCTCTTCTCGGAAGCCCGGCGCCGAGGGGCAGGCACTGGCTGCTGAGTGAATTTGGGGCCCACAGGTGGCCCGAGTGCCCAGCAGCTGCCTACGTGCGATGCTCGTGGCCGTAGTTCCACAGCGGCCGACAGAGCGAAGTCTTTTTTCGGGGAGCCTGTGTGGCCAGAGTGGCCTCCACGCACGCATGCCGCGCCCCGGCGTGCCACTTTTGTGTAAGCATGCTGGCTGTGCCCAACCACGGCGCAGCAGTATTCGTACCTAGCGCTTCTGCTTTTCGGACCTGAACGTCCGGGTGCACTTGGGCGGAGCGGCCGCTTCACTTGTGGCCGTCTGTGCCCACGTGCGGGTTTATAGGGAAGCGCTGGTCAGAGCAAGGCACCTGAAGATTGGCCAACAAACACACAACTCGTTTTCTAGACGCTTCGCGCAATCCCACCAGCCCATCCAGAAACGATGCCCGGGCGAGTTGCCCTGGTCAGGGATGTGGAGGAGCATGCAGTAGAATAATGGGCTGGGGAAACCGTCGTACCCCAAGATGGGGAGGATGGAGGAGGAATCGGACATCGGAGGCGGAGGATGAGGAGGATGAGGAGGAGGTGGAGGAGGAGGAGGAGGAGGAGGAGGAGGGGGAGGAGGAGGAGGAGGAGGAGGAGGAGGAGGAGAAGGGGAGGGGCAGAGGGAGAGGGAGGCGGGAGGAAAGAGGAGGAGAAATAGGCGGATGAGGAAGAGGATGAAGAGGAGGGTGAGCAGAAAGGCCAGAGGCAGGATGCCTCTCTTCTCGGAGTCTCTTCGGAGTTCTTTCGAGAGCTTCTTGGAATCTCCTTGGGGCGTCTTGGGGGCCTCTTGGCGGTCCTGGGGGCTTCTTAACGTGTCTTGGGTGCCTCGGGGGAGCCTCTTGGAGCCTGTTGGGGGCTTTCTTCGGGCCCTGTTGGGGGCCTAGGCATGCCGTCTTGGGACTACCAAAGAGGGGGGACCCTAACTAGGGACCCCACTCTAGAGCCCTTCAAATCGCCTCCCGGACTCCTCTTGGAGCGCTCTTGGGCGCTCTTGGGGCTGTCGTGGGACCCTCTTGGGGCTCTCTTGAGCCTTCTTGGAGCCATCTTGAGACCTCGGAGGGCGGTCGAAAGCGAAACGGCGAGAAGATACAGCATACGGATTGGCGGAGTTCGGCTTCTTGGTTGTTTCCTTAGGAGGCTCCGTGGCCATTTGGAGCCGTCTTGGGGCGGTCTGGAGCATGTTGGAAGCCATCACGAGCTATCCTGAGCCACCTTGAGCCATCTTGGAGGTCATCCTCGGCCCTCGGAGGCCCTGTTTGGAGCCATCTTCGGCGCTCCTCCAGCGGGTCGCGGGGCCCCGTCCAGGCCCAGAGGGAGGGGGCAAGGAGAGGGGTCAAGGCACCCTCCTGGATAGCAACCCCGTCGAGCTCACTCCCACCCGCCTTCCCAACACACAAGAAGCGCCCGAGCCGCAGCATGTTCAGCGGTCGTCTTTGGATGGGCAGCTACTGGTATCCAACACCGAGCCCATGTGCGCGACGCTGGGGCGAGGTGCGCCACGCGTGCCAGGCACGCCTGGTGCGCCAGATGCGCCACGTGCCTCCTCGTGCGCCAGGTGTGCCGCATACTCCAGCTGCGCCAGGTGCGCCACGTTTGGGGCACGTGCAGCGTGTGTCAGGTGCTCCTGCGCACGTGACAGCACACATCTGGAAATATGTCGGTCCCCACCACCCATATCGAAAATTAATGCCCATCATTGTGTCTGGTGGGCCTGCTCACAGCAGGCCATACGCCACCACTGGACAGTGATCGCGGAGTGGCCGCGCAATATCCAGATTTAGCCACGAGGTGCATTTTGTATTGTTTTTTGTGAGGGATGGTAGGCCTGCGCGCAGCAGGTAACATGTTAACACCCCCGCCGTCCCTGTCAAAACAATACAAAGTGCTCGCGGGCCTCACGAACATGACTCCAGACTTTGCCCCCAAGTGTATTGTGTATTGGTTTTTGACAGGGATGGGGGGGGGTCCTCATGGGGTCCTCATTGTTCCTGGTTGACTGCCAGTCGCCTGGGGGAGGGGGTGTTTACTAATAGGGAACGGTGATCAGAAAGAGCGTGTTCTGCCGCTGCTGGCAGAACACCGGGGGGGTCACTGTGGGTTTCAAACCCGTCCCCCCCATCGAAAACCGCGGGGGGTCATTGAGGGTTCCAAACACCCCCCCGTTCCCCCGGTTCATCATGAAAAAGGGGGGGGACACTACCGGTTCGAACCCTCCCCCTCGCCGCCGGCAAACGACTCCCCCTCCTCCCCCACTCCCGATGGGGGACTGTGGTGGGGACGATGGTGGGGATGGTGGTGGGGACGGTGGTGGGGATGGTGGTGGGGAGTGGGGACAGTGGGACAATGGTGGGGACAGTGGGGACAGTGGGACAGTGGTGGGGACGGTGGTGGTAGGGACTCGTGAGGGGACAGTAGGGAAGTGGTGTGGGGACTGGGACAGCCGGTAGGAAAGTGGTGGGGACAGCAGGGACAATGGGACAGTGGTGGGGATTGGGGGCAGTGGGACAGTGGTGGGGACTGGGGACGGTGGGGAGAGTGGGACCGTGGTGGCGACTGGGGGGGACACTGGGGACAGTGGTGGGAATAGTGGGGACAGTGGGACAGTGGTGGGAACAGCGGGGACAGTGGGGGCAGTGGGGACGGTGGTGGGGACGGCGGTAGTGGTGACAGTGGTGAGGGCGGTGGTGAGGACGGTGGTCGGGACCCGGGAGTCGTCTGCTGGGTGCGAGTGGGGGGGGGGGTTCGAAGTGGTAGTGACCCCCCCTCGTTCTCCGGGGGTGGGGGGGTGGGAGGGGGTTCTTGCCGGGGGGGGGCGGGGGGTCGTCGAGCAGGGGAGGGGGTTTTCGGAGGGGGGGACCCCCCGGGTTCTGGAGGAAGAGGGGGGGAATTTTCCACAGCAGAGCGGCGGTGGATCACGCTCTCTCGGTGATGAAGACACCCCTTCTACCCGCAAGCCGCCTCGCTCACTCCCACCCGCCCTCCCAACACATAGAAGTAACAGCCGAGTTTCTGCATGCCGTCTAGCAGCGCCGCGCTTGTCATGTGCGCCACGGGTCCCAGGTGCAATGCCTCCCTCGATCCTCCTCCCTCGATCCTCCTCCCTCGATCCTCCTCCCTCGATCCTCCTCCCTCGATCCTCCTCCCTCGCTCCTCCCTCGATCCTCCCTCCCTGGAGGCCCAGGCGTGGCAGCGTGGGCAGCAAGGCGTCTCTGGTCCGCACCGCTGCAGAGCGGTCGCCGGGCGC